AGGAGAGGCTGCTGGAGCCTTGAGCCCCCCTCTGCCTTCTGATCAGAGCTCCTTCCTGGGGCTACTCATTCCAGCCCTCCCTCCTCTCCCTGCTGGCCTGGGGAACCAGGTGAGGTGTGAGGTCTCTACCCTACATCATCTGGGTTCTAGCACCATGTCTTCCCAAGGCCTCAGGCCATCTCTGCCTTGCGACCTCGTGGCCACAGAATCACAGTGACCTACATGGCATATCCCCCGAGCCCCTGCCTGCAGACCACCTCCTTCTTCCAGCTACTGTCTCCAGCCGGGAGAGTTCAAAATGTCATTTCTCTTCTACTTCGCTCCCCCTTTTCCTTCCCACTGCATGAGTACAGGATGCCATGGAACTGACCACGTTGCTGGGGGAGAGACGGGGGTGGGGGCCCCCGGGTGCGGATAGAGGAGCTGGCTGTGGGGAGCTCCCCGGATTCTGGGTGGGCGTGGGGGGTAGCCATCTAGGGAGGTGACCTTGCCTGTTTCCCAGGGCGGCTGTAACAGCGCTCCCCAAACTGGGTGGCTTCAAACAACAGACATGGAGACTTCCCTGGTGGTCCAGTGATTAAGAGGTCACTTTCCAATGCAGGGGGTACAGGTTCCATCCCTGGTCTGGAAGCTAAGATCCCACAGGCCTCATGGCCAAAAAACCAAAACATAAGATAGAAACAAAATTGTAACAAATTCAATAAGGACTTAAAAGCGGAAAAAAAAAACCCAGACGTTTATTCTTTCACAGTCCTGGAGGCCAGAAGTCTGAAATCAAGGCATCCAGGGGCCGGTGCTGCCCATGAGAGCTCTAGGGAGGAACACTTTCTTACCTCTTTTCAGCTTCCATTCATTCCTAGCAGTCTTTGGCGTCCATGACTGGGAGACACATCGACCCAGACTCTGCCTCTGTCATCACACGGCTGTCTTCTCCCTGTGGGGTCTCTGTGTAGCGTCATCTTTATGGGGAAGCGAGCTGTTGAGTTTAGGCCCCACCTGAATCCCATATGACCTCAACATGTCACATTCACAGGTATGGCTTGGGGTGGGGGGTGCGCTTAGGCCTTCAACATATTTGAGGGGACCCAACTGTAGGGTAAGGGAGTTAGAGAAGGCGATGTTCGGAGAAAGGAGACCGGCACTTTAGAGGAACAGATCACCTTTAATGAGGCAAGAAGGGGCAGCAGTCGGATGAGTGGGCTGAGGAGAGTAGGTCTGTATAGGAAACATATATATGCAGAGATACATTGTTTTGAGGGGGTCTGTTTCTCCTCAAGATTATTTTTAACTAGTTAGCTTTCAACAACTGAGGCAAGGAATTCCTGAGACCAGCTGGAGACTGGGGTCAGCTGGGAGCTGAACGTAATCAATCTTAATGTCCATTCCTTTCTTCGGGGTAGAAAGTTCTTTATTCTGAATAGAATGGTGGGGAGGACCTGGAGGGGAGCTTTAACTCCAGGCTATTTTGAGCCGTGTAGCTTTCCTTCACCAACAGAACCCACAACCCTGACCACAGAGAGCGCAGGTTGGCATGGGAGGCCCCTGGGTAAGGGCCCAGATTTGTGAGTTCAGAATGTCGAATCTGTGTTGTCACATGCCTATGTTGGGGGTGTGTGTGTGGGGGGGTGTGGTTTGTGTCCCAACTGCCCCGAGCCCTGACCCAAAGTCACCTCTGTGGGTAGCCCACCCGTTCCTTGGCTCCAGGGATGCTGTAGCCAGGCCCCCAGGAGGAGGAGTCTATCAAGGCAGTAGCCTTGGGGTGTTTAAGCAGACTTGGACAGGCCACCTTTCGTGGCGGAGGAGCTCCAGGCTCAGAAGGAGCAAGATCCCTGGCGGCCCAGGACCTGAAGATGGTGTGGCGGCTCCGAGCTTAGGGGACTCGCCGCCTCTGGCTGCGGGCAGATATCCAGGCAGAGATGCTCTGAGCAGAGCCCTGCAGGCACCCTGGGATGCAGGCCCGGGGAGGGGCTCTGCAGGTCTTAGGAGCCAACTCCATCCTCCTCCATCCCCTCATTCCTCACTTGGGGGGAACCTCATCCTTCAGGACTTTCCCACCCCACCCTGGACCCTCCCCCACCCTTCCACCTGCGGGCGGGCAGACGCCTTCTGGAAGGGCAAGAGCACTGAACTCCAGGTGGGAGAGCTGTGTGCACATGCTTGGCCACTCACTTGCTGTGACTCGGGGTCAGGCTGGGCACCCAGCACTTCCAGCTCTTCCCTAGCTGCACACAGCCTCTGCCCTGCCTACCTCCCCACCTCCCCGTCTCTGCTTACACTGGTTAACTCCCCTCCGATGCCCTCCCCCGCCCCACCCCATCCTGGCCAGGTGGGCCCCCCTCGCCTCTGCACCTGGCTCTTCTCCCGCTCCACAGAGCACGTCTCCTGCAACGGACTGAGTGCACTGAAGGCTGGGCTCCTTCTTTTCCTTCTTTGCATCCCCAGAGCCGAGCACAGGCCTGGAGCCCTCGTTGCTCGCAAAGCACTTGTTAAATGAGGGAATGAACCAGCAGGCATCTGAAGCAGCGGGGCCTCTCGGAGCTGGGCGTCCATGCCTCTCTCCCAGCCCTTATCTCGGGTCACATTTATGCACAGAGCAGGATCCCCGGCCCCACCCCAGGGGGCGCTCCTCGGAGGACCGATGCACACATCCTCTTCCTCCGATAGTCCCAGCACCAGCCCCTGGGTAAGATTTCAGAGGTGGCCAAGGGGCTGTTTCTCTGCTGCACCCTGCTGACGAAGAGGGGGAACTGGAGGACATCTGGAAGCTTCTCCGGCCATCAGTGGGTCCGTCCTGGCCTGGGGATACAACAGCGGTTTCTATCATGCGGGGGAACAATGGCCATCCCTTTGCCTGGTGGTCTGTGTTCTTCATTCACCTAACAATAGCTGGAGGACCTGGTTAGGGCTTTCCCCTTTCCCTCCCTCCAGAGCCACCCCCGCCCCCACGGAAGGATGTGTGGTCAGTGTTCGACTGACCCCCAGATCTCCAGGCTGGTCTGATGCCTGAACAGTGTCACTGAATTACAATTTTTCAATCGTCTACTCCCCCCACTCCCAGATTGAGCTCCCCCAGAGTGGGGCGTCCCAGTTCATTTACTTGGTCAACAGATCTTCACTGTGTGTCAGCCCAGGTTGGGGGTTTTCTGCCCTCATGGAGCTCACTTCTGTCTTGTCTCCAGGCCCAGCCCGAGGCTTGGCACACACGCACGGAAGCGGGTGCACGTGGATGATTCAACAGGCAAGTGGGGGAGGGCTTTGGGATCCCATCTACAAACGCCCCCGCTCTGGTCCAGGCTCCCCGCTGCGGCCCAAGCAAAGCCCAGGGGAACAAACAGACGAAGAACCAATTTCTGAGGCTGGGCTACTGTTGGCTGCTCTGCCAGACTCACCCCGCCTCCCTGGAAGCTGGTTCGGGAAACCAGTGGCAGAGGAGACGCTGGGACAGAGTGACCTCAGAGGACCCTCACAGCCCTGCTACTCAGTCGCCTGAGGGTCCTCGAGCCTGGCCGTCCAAGAGGCAGGCCGCCGGCCTCCACAGCTCTGGCCGATCCAAGCAGGAGGGCCAGATACGAAGGAGGCGATGGTAGCACACTGAAGGTAGTGGCCGCCTCCCCTGCTTCTGGGCACAGGCCTGGGACGGGAGCCTGGAGTGGAGGGACTGTGACCAAGGGACACACAGCAGCCTGCCCTCACCGAGTGACCCTAGGGGAAAGGTGCTGGCGTGGTTGGAGATGTCAGGCTCTGAGACTGCAGGCAAGTCTCAGCCGCAGCCTGGACTCCTTGGCCGGTGAATCCTGTTCACAATCCCTCTTGGGAGCCATTCTCTGGCTTCATCCCCGCTCCCCGGCCAGTGCAGGCCATTCACCGCCCTGGCCCTGGCCGCTGCTGCGGGTCTGTGGGTGTGTCTTACCCACCTCTGATTCCCAGGGCCTCTCCAAAAAGCCAGCCCAAGGGGGGCCATCCAGCTCCAGGAATGCATGAAGGCCACGTGTTAAGATGTTGGTGAGAACACCCGCACCAGAAGTGTTTCCTCAACGCGAGCCCACCATGAGTCCAGCTGACAGCTGATCAGAAGCTGTGAGCTCTGCCAGCCCGATCAGGTGCCCATTGGCTCAGTCACTTTCTGTCCTGCCTGCCCTGCCGGGACGGGTTTGGGCGGATAACGGTTAGGGTCAGGGTTAGGGATCAGCTCCCTGCAAATTACACTTCCTGGGCTCACTTGCCAATAGCTTCCTGGTTAATTTAGCCCACGGGAGCTCCTGCTGGGAGATCAGGAGACAGGCAGAGAGGCCAGGGCTCTCCTCCCCGCCTCTTGCTTCTGACAGTGTCGCCGCAGGTGCCCACGTCTCTCCTCTGTGTAAAGTCCCGCCAGGCAGCCCTTCTCATGGTGACCCAGCCTGGAGCGCGGGGACCACCACAGTGTCTCCCTGCTGTCCACCCATCTCAGGGTCGCCAACCTTCCCGTTTGCCCTCTCAGCTCTCCAGGGAGCCACGTATCTTCCCCCCCCCCATTTCGTATCCCCACTGGGGAGTTGTCTGCCCGACTGGACCTGGCTGCGGTTCTCTTTGCTGCCCTCTGTATTCCCTGATCATAAAGACACAGCACGCCAGGGGCAGGTTGGAGGCAGTTTCTTTATACAAACGTAACCAACGCAACGGACCCATCAGCATCCTGCTGGGGCCCATGCAGGCCCGTCTCACCAGCCCTGGGGCAGAAGTCTGGGTGGTGGGGGGCGTCACTGCAGGGGAGGGACACTGCACAGGCCCGGGGAGCGGCCAGCACACCAACAGGGCGCTCCCAAGGACACACACGGACGCACAGACACACGGACACGGGGTAACCAAGGGTGTTGTGCGCAAGGACAGGAAGGAACCGAGAGCTGGGAGGAGCCACTGACAACCGATCCCCGCTGCTCCGGGGTTTCTTTGTGGGGGGGAAGGGGGTGGGAGGGGCCTGGGCCTGAAGCCAAGTGCCCCCAGTTGTGCCACGAGAGCCACGTGTCCTCACCAGGCGCCCTGCTTTCTGCATCTGGGAAGTGGGGACCACTGTACTTCACGAAGCTGTCATGAGGATAAAGGAGACTGAACAGGGACACATATCAAAATACTCAACACAGAGCATGGCACATAGAGGTGTCCAATAAATAACTTCGTGTCAAGAAAATCTCAGCTCAGAGAGGCCCTTTTTGAGAAGGCCAAGAGGGCAGACTGCGTCCCTGGAAACTTTCTCAGGGCATCAGGACCCTTGAGCACTCCTTGGAGCCTGTGGCGGCTGGAGTGGCCAGGGCCCCGGAATATACGGTACCAGGGCAGTTGAGAGGGGCAGGGGGCTGGACTCCCAGGGAGGCACCCGCAGAAGCTGGGTAGACACCGGAGGAGTTGGGGGTTGTGCCAAAATGATTCTGCACGTAGCACAGGCCAGAGGCAGGCTGGTACGGAGGCAGGCTGGGCATGTGCCCAGGAGCACACGATGGCCAGGAGGCCAGTTTCTGGCCACTGACATGCTGCATCTGGGCGGCAGGGTGGTTCGGGGTCAGGTGAGGGTGGCCACTCTGCGTGGGGTAGGAGCCGGGCACAGGGTTTGGCCTGGAAAGGAACAAGAGAGAAGACGGGCGCTGAGCTAGTCATGCCGGGGAACACAGCACCCCGACTGTCGATCTGCAGGAGAAAAGGCTGGGCTCGCTGCACTGCCTTCTATTACAACATGCTGTGGACTGGAGTTTCCTGTAACCAGCTGTACATGTGCCACATGGGGAGAAAGAGTCATCTCAAATGAACAGAAAACAGATGCCCAGAGCGGGCAGGGCACACTCACGGTCCTGCAGTAAGCCAGCAGGATGAGGGGCGGTCGGGCCCATGCCTAAGACCCCTTGAGGTATAAGGGCAGTCGGCAAGTTGGATGGACTTGGGGATGGGATCACAGTAGTTAGTGTCTTCCTTGGCTGGCCAAGTGATCAACCAAAGAGAACGGGTCCACTTCTGTGGGAGGTCGGAGGGGAGGGCTCCAACGGGGTAACACAGGGCTCGGGCCCAGGCCTTGTCTGCTGGCAGATGGTTTACCCATGACAGCAGGAAAGAAGGCTTATAGCTCAAAGTCCTGGCAGGCAGGAACGGATGTGACAGATGCGGGGAACTGTCTGTGCCGAGGTCAAAGACCCCACCACAGACACAGGTGGCTGGGGCCATGGAGGGGGACACCTTCTAAGGGATTTAGCCTGCGACCTTTTGCAGAGATTTCTCAATACGAAGAATGAATGTCACCACCACTGACATCTGTGTTAGGTAACGATTAAACCTTGATACATTTCAGTCTAAACCTAAGCTTATAAATCAACTGAAGTAGAGACACAAACACTTGGCAGCACTCCCTGAATTTTAAAAATGCAGAGGCTCTGGCCTATAAGAAGCTTGATAAGAGCCTCCAAGGGAGACAAAGCTGTCCAGGCAGCCAGGACTGATGCCAAAACCAACACGTGCATCAGTGCTGCCCGTGTCCTGTTGTTTGGTCATCAGAAACATCATGTCTGTTCTGGGTGTCTGCAATAGGCCAGGGTGACACGGGCTGGGACACTATGCCATGTGGGTCACCATATCCCCAGCCAGGTCTGCACGTTATGGGGAAGCAGGATCACTGGGCACCACGGGTGTCACAGTTACAGAGAAGTGAGTGTGATCCAGCGTGCAAGACCGTCGTCACTGGGGGCTGCCTTGTAGAGCGAGGCCCCAACCGCCAGGGGTCAACATCGGCAGCTGTCTTAGAGGGGCTTCCTTCTTGGAGCGTGGTTGAGGAGTTTGCAAATGAGGTCTCCTAAGTTCTCTCTGAACTGAAATTAGAACTGAAGTTCTCCCTAGATTCTGTGAGAACAGCAATTAAGAACCAAAAAGCTATACAATACAGCTAATTCTAAATGTAAACACCTCCCACCCATTGTTGCTGCTGCTGAGTCGCTCAGTCGTGTCCGACTCTTTGCGACCCCACGGACTGCAGCACACCAGGCCTCCCTGTCCTTCACCACCTCCCAGAGCTTGCTCAAACTCTTGTCCATTGAGTGGGGAATGCCATCCAACCATCTTATGATCTGTTGTCTCCTTTTCCTCCTGCCCTCGCTCTTTCCCAGCATCAGGGTCCTTCCAAAAAGCTAAAATACAGCTAATTCTAAACGTCAACACCTCCTACCCACTGATACTCCAGAATTACTTGCCTGAAATAAAATGAGTGAGTGTGCATTTCTATTTTTCCTGGTACCCATCCTTGCCTTTAAGAAATGGTCAGAGCTGGGACTTCCCTGGGAAGGTCCAGTGGTTAGGACTTAGCACTGTCACTGAGGGAGCCCCGAGTTTGATCCCTGGTAGGGGGTTAAGATCCAACAAGCCACACAGCATGGCCAAAAAAAAAAGAAAAGAAAATGGTCAGAGGGCTTTGAGCCACTGAAGGCTGAGAATCTGTCTCTTAAAATAAACTACAAGGAATAGCTCCTGATTCAACCAAGATCCTGCCTCCAGGCCAGTGTGGGGGACAAGATGGACTCCACAGCTGGCTCAAGGCAGAAACCAGCCACTGCCTTAACTTTGCAGTGAACCCTCTCTCTGGGACAGAAGCCTCCACTGTGAACTCTCAGCATTGACAAAAACCAGTGAAGGCCACCCGAGGCTGGCAGCGTGTGTGCAGGAGTGACAGGAAGTGAGCAGGAGCCGGAAGCAGGAGGCCCTGGCTCTAGACCGGGCACTTCTGACTCTGTGTTACCTGGAGAAAGATGTTTGTCCCCTTTGGGCCTCCTCTCCGACAGGAGGGAGTGAGGCTACGTGAGAGCTCCATAGAGTTAACACACCTGGACTGGAAAGCAGTGAATAAACTTCACCTTCTCCTGCCAGGTGGCCAAGAACACCCTGAGCTTCGGGCCACGCCACCTCCTAAGCCCGCCAGTCAGCCGGGTGGATCACACTTCTTACCAGCGACGCCTGCCAGAGCCCAGTCCCAGGCACACAGAGCGCGTCAGTGCTGAGGGCTGGTGATGCCCTCCCGCAGGCCCTCGGGATTATGCGCAAGGGCTCTGAACGCCTCCCATCTAACGCCCTTCCTGCTTGGTCCCCTCTTTGGAAGCAGCTGGGCAGAATCCAGGACGCTCAGGAGAAATCTGTGCACAGGTTTCGCTGGGCAGGCCCAAGCGACCCACACCCTTCTTCCCTATTCCCCAGGACACCGAAAACCAGTCGCACCCTCTACAGCAGGGAACCCCCACCCCTGGGACCTGATGATCTGAGGTGGATCTGAGAGTGAAAATAAAAGTGCACAAAATATGTAATCACTTGAAATACCCTGAAACAACCATCCCCTGCTCCCCCCTCAATCCCACTCCTGGTTCGTGGAAAAACTGTCCTCCACGAAACTGGTGTCAAAAAGGCTTGGGACCGCGCTTTTATAGGCCCTGGAGCTGCTCCAGGAATAAAGCAAGCACTGCGTTCTGTAACTTACTTCCGGCTTTGGGCTGCCCTCCTTTCGGCTGAAGAGCCGGAGATGTACTTGAACATCGAAAGCCTCCTCATCAGGCTGAAGGGGAACTTCTGGTCGAGCTTCATTGCGACTTGCTCTGGGACGTCAAAGGAGAAGCAGTAGGTGAAGCCGTCTGGGGTCAGCGTATTAAGGAGAAGTGGAGAGAGCTAAAGGGAGGGGGGCTACGTGCTGCCCCAGGACACAGGCGACCACGCTGACTCCACGGGGGGCCTGGGCTTATTCCACCATCATCTCTGGACTGCAGTTTCAAGCTCAGGGGAAACCAAGAGATGGCGTTTCTAGCCTCCGTACCTCAGAGGGAACACAACGCAGCAATAGGAGAGGCAGGCAGGTGCTAACATCTCACCTTCCCCTGGACACACCCATCCTCTCTCCTGGGCCTCTCGAGCCCCTGTAATCACCGTCAGAAGCCAGCACGCACCTCTGTTTCTCTAAGTGGGATGAAGCAGGCAGCCAGTCTAATACCCTCTAGGAGGTCTGACATCTTGTCCTTTGTCCCAGGTCGAAGGAACCGTGCCTCGATGTGACCAAGTGAGCTTCTCGTGGGCCTCTGTGGCAGCCCGTCCCCCACATCGTCACCAGCTCCCAGAGATGTGAGGGCACCCTGGTTGTCCAACCTGCGTCAGCCCGTCACTGCCGAGATGGCCAAAAAGAGTCAGCCTAATTGCCAGGAATGTAAGGCTTATTCTAAGTTTTTAACCACTCAAATGTTCAAAGCCTACCTTAAAAAAATTTTTCTTTTTCTCTTCTGAGAAAAAGACTAAGCCAAACAAAAACAAAGAAACCTGTTTCCTGGGAATATCTTTTTTTTCCTGGGAATACCTTTCACGGAACATCTCTAGCTCATGGGTATTTCAGGACCCTCCAACAACAAAAAATTGGCCAAATGGGTTTATACCTTGGAAAAAAACAAACCAGAGTATTTCATTAAACGGTAGTGCTGAGCCAGAGAAGGCAATGGCAGCCCACTCCAGTACTCTTGACCGGAAAATCCCATGGATGGAGGAGCCTGGTAGGTTGCAGTCCATGGGGTCGCGAAGAGTCGGACACGACTGAGCAACTTCACTTTCACTTTTCACTTTCATGCACTGGAGAAGGAAATGGCAACCTACTCCAGTGTTCTTGCCTGGAGAATCCCAGGGATGGCGAAGCCTGGTGGGCTGCCGTCTATGGGGTCGCACAGAGTCGGACACAACTGAAGCAACTTAGCAGCAGCAGCAGCTGAGCCACCGTATGGAAACAGGTAGGGGGATCTCTCCCAGAAGAGAAAACTTTGGTGTAAAGAAGGGAAGTGGCCTGAGGCCACATGGTTTTCAAATCTGAAGCTGGCACACAGAATACCTACATGTGAGCTCTATCTGCCTGAACCCCCTGCCCCGACCCCCAGGACCTACAGTGTGGTTCACCCTCTGGCATGTCATCGCTACGACAACAGCCCTCTAGGAAGGATACATGCTAGCCCTATTCCCAGGCCACAGACGTTACTGAGGAAAGAGGTCTGGGGAATGAGCCAGGAGGCACAGAGCAGGAGCCAGGGCACCAGCAGCGAAGGCACAACCATGCCGAACACCAGGGCCCGCCGCATCCGAGAGCGGACGCAGTTGACTCCCAGCATGGCGAAAGCCACGGGGGTGAAACCACGGGCGTCCTCCACCTCCCCGAGCTTTGACAGCGATGACACAGCTTCAAACGACAGGAAGATGATGGCACAGATGACGGCGAAGACCACAGTGAAGAAGCAGTGGCGGACGGTGCCCACGGTTCTCTCAAAATTGCCAGCAAAGCGCCAGATGACGATGGCACCGCAGAGCAAGGAGACGGGGTTCTCGTAGACAAAGATGTAGGTCACCAGCCTGTAAACTGCAGGGGGAACCGAGTTAGAGGCCTGACGGTGGCTTGCTCCAAGAAGGGAAAAGCCAGGTTACAACCCACCTAGGAAAACGGGGAGCAGCTGGCTCTCGTTGCCAGGGAAAATCAGCCCGGAGCCAGTGGGATAAGCAGAGGGGAGCAACAGCGAAGGACCCAGGACTCAAAGTAGAGGCGGGGATGTCTAATCTGTGCTCTTTCCCAGACCTGGAGCAAGTCTTATCTGTGACTGGCTTCCACGTGGGGGAAGAAAAATAACACTTTTTAGCATGGGATGGTCTCTTATAATTTGTAATGTGCTTTATAATCCTCTTTGAGGCTTTAATACTGACCTATCTCACCGGGCAGTTTGAGGGTTAATTAATTGTAACAGCTTCAGGTGGATTGAGTGGGTGTCACTTAACACTCTTTGTGCCCGTCTCCTCGGCTGTAATCCTGACCTCTCCTTCCATAGTGGCTGTTCAGAGGAAGAAAAAAGGGACCATGAATTATTGTGCACCTGTAAAGATGAGAAAACTATCACTAAGAATGTAGATACAGAACTCAGAAGTCTTTCTGGCAAGTGCTTATCCAGTCTTAGAGGTAGAGTGATGTTTGATATGCAATAAGATAGTAAAGAATCTTTTATTTTTCTACAAGCAGTCCTCACTTCTGTATTTTTACATCCCTGCAGGCAAAAACACTAAACTGAAGGAGGAGGGTGATCAGTGAAGTGGCAGGAACATTGGATTTGGAAGTCTAGAGGAATCTTGGCTCTGTCACATCTAGACTGGCTGAGTTCAGTCCAGACACAGGGCCCTGTCGGCTTCAGTGGTTCTTATTGTAAAATAAAATGGATATACTCGAGGCCCTCAAAGGTCTCTTACGTGTCTAATACTCACATTGTCCATGAATCCCACACTCAAGAGAAGCCGCAAAGTAAAGGAAAAAAAAAAAGGGAGCTCAGTTTAGGCTGGCATTTTGCATCTGTCTCTGAAGACAGACATGCTATGTGATCCAGGGTGAGGGTGAGGGGGACCACTTTTAGATTTGAGCAGGGAGGCAGGCTAAGAACCATATACCTCAGTCAGGCCATCTCGGTAAGGCTTCGTCATCTGAAGAGTACCATCATTACTTGTTGAGTACTTCCAACACTGAAATCCCAAGGGTACATGTGAAGATTCTAGAAGCAATTCTATATAATTTGGGGATTTAGAAAGCCCAAGGTTCCAGTTCCAAAATGTCACACGATGCAAAGAACAATCTGGGTTCCTGTGTCAATTGTATGACTCAATAGCTCTGTGAGTCTTCGCATTAAGCCTCAGTTTCATCTAAAGAGTGGACAACAATAAAGCCCATGGGCAATAAAGCCTACAGTAATAATACGTCATGGGATCACCGTGAGAATTAAAAGAGATTAATGCATGTGAAAGTGCTTTGCAAAACAACAAAAGTCATACAAATCTCTCATTTTCCTCCCAAAAAAGAATGGGGAAGAAACAGAGGCTAAGAACATCTTTTATGAGCAGATATTTATACTTAATTGGTCTGCAAAATCTCTCCATCTCCCTGAGAAAACCAACACCTCTCCCAAAAGTACAAGACACCCCGCTCTCTCTATAAGCTGGGAATCGGAGTAAGGATTAAGATAAAAACGAAGATGCAGAAGAAATTCTAAACCCCAGGAGGCCAGGATGCTTACAGAGGTGGCCACAGATACAGCTCAAGTGTCTTGAGAAGGTGGAAAAAAAATTTTTTTTTTTTGTTTCCAGTAGGGGGTTGGGCCCTAAAGCAGACGGAGGTGTGAATGTGACAAGGGAGAGAAAAATCCTCCTCGGCGAGCAAGCAGGGGTGAATGAAGCCTAATCGCTACGAATGGATATGGGAGCCTTGCCCAGTACGATGGCGACAGGGACGGGAACACATCTGGGTAGGGAAGGGTTACAGGGATGACCAAGATGGGGCTCTGCACAAAGACGTGGAATATGGGGCTGGTCCTCCAGGTGGGGAGAATGAGGCGGACGGAGATAGGGTGGCGTGGGTTCTGGGAGGCCGGAGCCCAGGGCCTGGCGAGATCGGAGGAAAAAGAACTCGCACCCGGTACCCGGCCCCGCCCTGCTCACCTTGCCAGTTGCGCAGGGCCTCGGACCGCAGCGAGAGGCCCGAGGGCGCCAGGGGCTGCTGCAGCAGGAACAGACGGGGCCCGGATACCAGCAGCGAGAGCAGCGCGGTGAAGAAGGTGGCGGATGGCACCTCGGGCCACAAGGACCAGCTCCGGTAACCCGGCTCCGAGACAGCCATGGCCGCCAAGGCTCCCGCTCACCTACGCAGCTCTGGCTGGTCCTCGGCTCCTTCCGCCTCCCTGCGGCTGTCACCCGTGGCAACAGCGGAGCGGGTGGCCGGAAGCCCCGCCTCCCAGAGGCCCCGCCCTGTGCGGAGTTACCCAATCCGGTAACTCGCGCTGGCAGGCCTCCCACGCGCGTAGGCCGAAAGGAGTCCAGCCTGTGAGCTTTGGCTGCAGCATCCTCGGGACCGGCTAGGAGTCTTGTGTGGGAGCCGCTTGGGGGGCACCGGGCGGGGCGGCTCGAATTTTGGATTTCATCATCTCAGCTCTAGCTACCTAATGAGTATTGTGCCTTGCAGTTTACAGAGCCTTCGATCTTTTTCTCTGTCTCACACACAGCCTCCCTTATCTGTGTCTACCTTCATTAATACCCGTGGCGACACTAGGGTTTGGGTAATGCAGTTAGATGGCAAACACAATTAGAACTCAGGTTCCTGCCGTTGCTATGGCCTGGAATTGGCTACTGGCAAAAGCAAGTTTTGGTGCCTGGATTAAAGAAACAGGGTAGGAGAGAAAGGAGGAATTCCACGGAAGGCCCTGAAGTGTTCTTCAGTTGCTAAATTGTATCCAACACTGACTGACTCTTTGCGACCCCGTGTATTGCAGCACGCCAGGCTTCCTTGTCCTTCACTATCTCCCGGAGTTTGTTCAAATTCATATCCATTGAGACAATGATGCTATCTAACCATCTCTTGCTCAAATTCATATCCATTGAGTCAGTGATGCTATCTAACCATCTCATCCTCTGCCGCCCTCTTCTCCTTTTGCCTTCCATCTTTTCCAGTATCAGATCTTTCCCAATGACCTGAAGTATTAGGGATGTAATTTAAAAATAATAATAACCAAAGTCTGTTTCAGCCCTTAAAGTCTGAAAAGCATCTTCACCAGAGAAGAAAAGCACCTTCACCTTCACCAGTTGTTTAGACAACTGAAATATTGTTTCCTCAATTACAGATGCTCCAGACTAGGACTAGGATCTGAATCCCTGTTTGCTAAGTGCTGACTTTCTTCCCTTTTCACTATTTCCCTCTAATATCCTGCCTACTGCTACATGGATATAAAATTGACTACTGAGAAATGAACAAATGCTTCATTCTCTGTGCTGGACTTTCAGATCTGTTCCCAGACCTAGTTTGCCCCCCTGTCAATGGTTCTGGCAATGTCTGTGTTCCCATGAACCTCAGGAAGGGAACCTGAGATTCTCTTTGTCATTTGTGTTTCAGTTCAGTTCAGTCGCTCAGTCGTGTCCGACTCTTTGTGACCCCGTGAATCGCAACACGGCAGGCCTCCCTGTCCATCACCAACTCCCGGAGTTTACTCAAACTCATGTCCATCAAGTCGGTGATGCCATCAAACCATCTCATCCTCTGTCATCCCCGTNTATATTCTGCATATAAGTTAAACAAGCAGGGTGACAGTATATATCCTTGATGTACTCCTTTCCCCATTTGGAACCAGTCTGTTGTTCCATGTTCCGACCTGCATACAGATTGCTCAGGAGGCAGGTCAGGTGGTCTAGTATTCCCATCTCTTTCATAATTTCCCCCAGTTTGTTGTGATCCACACAGTCAAAGGCTTTGGTGTAGTCAATAAAGCAGAAGTAGATGTTTTTCTGGAACTTTCATGCCTTTTCAATGATCCAGTGGATGTTGGCAATTTGATCTCTGGTTCCTCTGCCTTTTCTAAATCCAGCTTGAGAATCTGGAAGTTCACGTACTGTTGAAGCCTGGCTTGGAGAATTTTGAGCATTACTTTTCTAGCATGTGAAATGAGTGCAATTGTGCAGTAGTCTGAACATTCCTTGGCATTGCCTTTCTTTGGAATTGGAATGAAAATGTACCTTTTCCATGCTGTGTAGATTTAAACTAATGCTGCTAATGATGCAGCAGTGGGCATGAAAATGAAGGTTTTACTCAACAGGAAGCAGCATATGACTCAGAAGTGCGGTGTAGCAGCTAAAAATAACGAGTGGGGACTTGGGCTGCTGGAACAAGAGTCTGGGCCTTGGAAAGAGGAAGGGAATGGTGGTCCTGTTTCCTCTGTGCCACTCCAGGAGTTCTGGGTCTACTTTCAGACATATATTTTCGATAAAGATCTAGAAAAATTAGGGCTTGTCCAACAACAAGTGACTAGAATGGGGAGGGAAAGGGGGACTTCAAATCCTATTTGATGAGGGACAATTAAAGGGATCAGAGAGACTTGCCCGAGAAAGCTTCAGGGGTCCTGACCACTGACTAACTATGCGAAAGGCTTTCCTGGAGGTGAGGGAACAGACTTACCCTGTGTTACTCTAGAGGGTAGACCTGGGGATGAAAGGTGGAAAATGATAGGGCAACACACTGGGCTTATGAAAGAACTTTCTGACAATTTGGATTGTCCATCTATGGCATGAGGTGCCTTAGTTGATAGTGAGCTCTCCGTGACTGGAGGTGTGCAAGCAGAGGCAATCTGGGGACTTGAGGAGCCTATTGAAGTGATTCAAATGTCAGGTTGGAGATGGAACTAGATGCCTTTAAAAATTTTTTTAGACCCTCAGTTCTAAGACTCCATAAACAAACAAATGCATATAGAGGGTTGAGGCCCTTGCCATTTACTGGGGTTGTTGTTCAGTTGCTAACATGTGTCCAACTCTTTGCAACCCCATGGATTGCAGCATGCCAGGCTTCCCTGTCCTTCACTATCTCTTGGAATTTGCTGAAATTCATGTCCATTGGACTCCATGCTATCCAATGGTGATGCTATCCAACCATCTCATCCTCTGTCGCCCCCTTCTCCTCCTGCCCTCAATCTTTCCCAGTATCAGGGTCTTTTCCAGTGAGTCAGCTCTTTGCATCAAGTGCCAAAGTACTGGAGCTTCAGCTTCAGCATCAGTCCTTCCCATGAATATTCAGGGTTGATTTCCTTTAGGATTGACTGGTTTGATTTCCTGCTATCTAAGGGACTTTCTAACGCTTGCTCTTTGGAAGAAAACCTATGACCAACCTAGATAGCATATTTAAAAGCAGAGACATTACTTTGCCAACAAAGGTCTGTCTAGTCAAAGCTATGGTTTTTCCAGTAGTCATGTATGGATGTGAGAGTTGGACCATAAAGAAAGCTGAGTGCCAAAGAATTGTTGCTTTTGAACTGTGGTGTTGGAGAAGACTCTTGAGAGTCCCTTGGACTGCAGGGAGAACAAACCAGTTGATCCTAAAGGAAATCACCCCTGAATCTTCATAGGAAGGACTACATGCTGAAGCTGAAGTTCCAAAACTTTGGCCACCTGATGCTAAGAGTCAACTCATTAGAAAAGACCCTGATACTGGGCAAGATTGAAGGCAAGAGGAGAAGAGGATGACAGAGGTTGAGATGGTTGGATGGCATCACTGACTCGATGGACATGAGTCTGAGCAAGCTCTGGGAGTTGGTGATGGACAGGGAAGCTTGGCGTGCCGCAGTCCATGGGGTCTCAGAGTCAAGACACAACTGAGCGACGGAGTTGAACCCAAGGGATTGTCAAAAATCTTTTCCAGCACCACAGTTCAAAAGTATCATTACTGCCCCCTGGTGGACAGTTCTGTGCAGGAGTCCTTTAAGTTTGTTGGCGAAGAGGCCAAATCCGGAAGCAGAATACTGGCCCCTTGCCGGCTGTCCAGGGGAGCTGCTCACATCTAGATGGATGGCTTAATCTGGGGACATCTTAGTAGGTCCAAAATCCTGGATGGCCCCCAACATGGCCCCCAAGGTAATGTAGCTTCAGCCTGCCATGCCATTCATGTGCCGTGCCAGCCTACCCCACCTCTCTTTTCCCACACTCATGGAGTGGGGCACACAGCAGCAAGCCCACTCCCTAATACACATGCCCCCAGAGAAAAGAACACCGGCCCCAGGATGCCTTCTGGCTGGCATCGCTGTTTCTGCAATGATCTTCCTTGGATCTCTCCCAACACTGGGTTTCACCGGGGCCTGGGAAGCCAGGTTGGCAACAGTCAAACAGTGGAAGCCCTTGCAGGCTGTGGTGAGCAATGTGAGTCTCATTCCAAGAAAGTGGAAAGTTTAGCAGGGCTAAACCAGATTTTCCTGAGCTATTTATGTTTAGAAAGTGGGGAAATGAGCCCTCTCAGACACTGGGAGGATTGAAAGTTGGCGGACGTTCTGTAGAAGGAAATTTGGCAATATCTTGCAAAATGACTAATGCCTTTATCACTTCTAGGGTTTTAGCCTACTGACCTGTTTGCATTTGTGGAATATGTCTCACATAAAACGTTATCTACTGCAGTAGTAGATACTGGAAACAACCAGATGTCCATCATGGAAAGAATGATTAATAAATAATGGTGCATTCTTCAAAGGAATATTCTATAACCATAGAAAGAAAAAAAAAACTGAGAAAGCTATGTATCAGTATGGGACGATATCTGAAATATTTTCTTGAGTCAAGAGGCAGGGTTAATATCAGTGGGTATACCATGCTGCCATAAATATAAGGAGCTGGGGAGAAAAAGATACCTCACTCTGCGTGGAATAATTCTGAAGCTTCCAGGGAGAGGAACTGAATGACTGGGGTGTAAGTCTGGGAGGACTCACTCCTTTGTAAACTCTTGGGTACATTTAAAATTTTGGACCATTTTGCCATGGCCTGATCATTTGTGTCCCTCCGATCCATACATCGGCTTCCTTGGTGGCTCAGACAGTAAAGAATCTGCCTGCAATGTGGGAGACCCAGGTTCGATCCCTGGGTCAAGAAAACCCCCTGGAGGAGGGCAT